AACTGCTGGACCATCCGTCGGTTGTGGGGGACGGGCCACTCCATGACGGCCCGGATCTTCTTGGGGTCCATCTCCACACGTCCCGGGGATAGGATGTAGCCCAGGAACTCAATGGAAGTGGCCTCGAAGATGCTCTTCTCTAGCTTACCGTACAGCCGATGGGTCCGGAGACGGTGGAGCACCGCTTTGACGTGCCTCTCGTGCTGCAGCAACGTCTGGGAGAAGACGAGTATGTCGTCTAGGTAAACAACAACGTGGGTGTCCAGGAGATCCCGGAACACATCTTTAACAAAACACTGGAAGGTGGCCGGGGCATTGCAGACCCCGAAGGGCATCACGAGATATTCATAGTGCCCAAACCGCGAGCGAAAGGCCGTCTTGCATTCATCGCCCTGACGGATGCGGACAAGGTTGTAGGCACCTCGGAGGTCAATCTTAGTGAAGAACCTGGCGTTTTTCACCCTGTCCAGGAGGTCCGGGATGAGGGGAAGCGGGTACCGGTTCTTTTTGGTTATGTCATTGAGGGACCTGTAGTCCACGCAGGGCCAGAAAGCACCATCCTTCTTCCCCACGAAGAAGATGCCGGCCCCGACTGGAGAGGTGGAAGGATGAACCCTTTGGCCAGGCTCTCATCTATATAGGCTTTTAGGGCCTTGGTTTTGGGTTCCGAGAGATTGTACAGGCGCCAGTATGGCAATGGGGCTCCAGGGAGCAGATCAATAGGGAAATCGTATGGCCTGTGGTGAGGCAAGATGTCGGCGCCCTTCTTCTCAAATACATCCGTGAACTCCCGGTACTTGTCCGGCAGGTTGTTTGATGGTACCCAGGACTGTCGATCTGTTGAGAACAGAAGAAACACTGACAGCCGAGCTGGAAGGGGATCAGAAAGGTGACGGATCCGGTGGCCCAGCTGATCAGGGGGTTGTGTCTCTGGAGCCACGGAATTCCCAGGATGACAGGAAACAGCGGAGAGGGCACGATGTACCACGTGACCCGTTCGGAATGGTGATTACCGATGTGGAGGAGCAAGGGATGTGATTCCATGGCGACGGGACCGGTCTGCAGGGTGCTACCGTCCACCATGTGCAGCTGAGATGGGTTCTATTTCGGGCGCAACGGAATCTCCAACTTTAGACCTAGGTCCTTGTCCATGAAGCAGCTGCCCAAGTCGATGATGGCAGGGAGGTTAATGCCATTCTTGTCCAACTGCAGGGAGACAGGGATGGTGAGATAAGTCACTGTACACGGGAGAGTTAACACACGGTGTGGGTACGTCTGTCCTATCTGCCCGTGGTTTAATGGGGCAGTCCTTCAAGAAGAGGCCAGGCTTGGCGCAGGATAGACACAGACGTAGCACCCGTCGTCTGGTCCTCTCGACCGCGGAGAGAGGCCCACGAACCACCCCGATCTGCATGGGTTCCTCCGGGTTGAGGTCCCCAAGCGCGGGAGCGGGCACCGGAAGAGGGTCTGGTTGTTGTGCCAATGGGGGTGGTGCTAGCTGCCTCTCCTGTCGTCTCTCGCGGAAGCGTCGGTCCAAGTGAGTCACCGAGTCCATCAGGGCCTCCAGGGTACCTGGTACACCGATGCGGGCAAGCTAGTCTTTCAGGTGCTCCCACAACCCGATTCGGAATTGGTCCACTAGTGCCACATCGTTGAGACTAGTGTCCGGAGCGGTCTCACGGAACTTGGTGATATAGTCCTCCACCGGTCGCCTGCCTTGGCGGAGGGTGCGCAGACTGCCCCTGGAGGTCAAGGCATGTAGCGGGTCATGGTAGAGCCTCCGCATGGCAACAACAAAGGACTCCCAGGTTGTAAGCACCGGGTCGTTGGCCTGTAGTAAATGGTGTGCCCATGTCTGGGGTGGCCCAGAGAGTAGAGATACAGCCATGCGTACCTTGATTAAATCGGTGGGGTACGTACGGGGTTTCAGGGCGAAGAGGAGCTCACATGAGATGATGGAGTGGTGCTTCTTCGATCGCCAGAAAACAGCTCTGGGAGGCCAACCGACGGCTCACTGGTAACCACCTCAATGGCGCGTGCCGGAGTGGGCAGAGGTGAGGGTGGCAGCGCGGTGGCTTCTGCGCTGCGTCGCTCCTGTGCGACCACCCTCTGGAACAGATGCTCGTGGCTGGCCTGCATCTCCTGAAGTGCCTGTGTCATCAGGCCCAGCTGTTGGGAGAGGGTCGTGATGGCCTCAGCCGCTCCTGCGGATTCCATGGTAATGGCTGAGTTATTATGTCAGGTGCGTCTGCGGGCAAGCAGCACGGATGGAACCCGCTGGCAGGAAACAGCCTGAAAAGTCCAAAAGTAAGGTAACAAGGGGGAAATCCAAAAGGGGTAGTCGAGTCCAATCTGAGGTCGAGGCAGGCAGCAAAGGGTCATAGGCGATAGACGGTCCAAGGTCGGTACACGGGGAGTCAGCAGAGGGTTCAGGAAACTGGCAGCAAGGCACATAGGAGGGGAGCTTCGTATATGTCACACCATGAGGTGGAATAACTCAGCAATGAGCCAGGGATCAGGCCAGGTTTTTATAGCCAAGGGTTGTAAGTCAGCCCCCCTGTCACCGAGGCAACCAGGAGGCTTCCCTCCCCGATAGCCAATGGCAGGCGAGAGGTGTTTCGAGTGGGCTGGGGAACCTCCCCCGGGAAGGCCCACACCTGAGGTCTAAACCGGTGCAGGCGCGCTATGCGTGCGTTCCCGGGATGCGCGCGCAGCCTTGCACAGCGCATTTGTGCACCCGACGCGCGACACGCGCATGCGCAACGGCGTTTGGAGCACCCGTGGTTCTGCCAGGCTGAAGGGAGGCCCGCACCCCACGCCGTTCCCGCTGACCTCGTAGGGAGGTGACTCCCCTTGCTTCCTGACACATGTAAACTAAAATATTATCCTTGGTGAAAACATAGATTTAAGGAGATGGATCATATCAGACGAATGGTTTGGGCCTTTGTGTCCGCTACTCCGGAGCAGAACATGGGGGGGGCAGATGTGTGGCAGTGCGTGGCAATGCCACTGTGTAACTTGTCAAAATAGCCAATGAGCAGTTCCGGGAAGCAAATACTTTTACCAGGAAAGAGCTGGATTTGCAGTTCTTTCCTGGTCTTCTGGATTTGGATTGGGATCCTGTAACCAGGAGATTTCTACGAGAATTGGGAGGGATGAAATCTTCATTCCTTGGTCCGTATTTTAGTACTGACCAGTATCCAATGATGGTGCACAATCCTTATGAAAAGGCTGCTGGCTGATGTTCAGGGTTCCAGCTTGAAGACAGAGGTGGTGTCTGTCCAGGAGTCAGGAAGTCTCCATCCTGGAACCAGCCTGTGGCAAGTCTATTGGATATAGCCTGTGTGGGAGAGGTTTACAGTGACAACCTGAAGTTGGTAAAACTTTGAAAATGTTATATTACTCAAAGACAAAGCTGAAGTTGTGTTATTATGTTGGAGAAAGCCCTGTGAAGGAAAAACTTCTTTGCACTTTTAAATAAAATAGGGGAAAGAAGCGAGTGGACTACGTCCTTAATGCACTACCATTTGAAGCTAAATCTCATAGTATATATGTGTGTGTTTTTTGCTTTTGTGTCTGCGATATAACACGAAAATCACCTGTACTCCGTACAGCGTACAGACTTTGACGGAGGGTTGGTGCTTGAAGTGGCAACACAGATGGCGCTGTGTCAGATACAGTCCATAATAGAAGTCCCCAGCACTTGATGATATGTGCAAGTAAAGCACTTTTTATTAAATTGTCACATGTGTCATACAGTCAATGTTTCGGGACCACACAGGGTCCCTTCTTCTGGGCGACATAGTGACACAACAAGAATGCAACTTCAGCTTTAAATAGTGAGACCACACAAAATACACCACAGATCCTCCCCATGATGTCACATTGACGTCAAATCCCGCCATAATTTGAAAGCAAAAATAGCTTGAAAACAAACACAATAAAGTGCAGAACAAAACCCCAATCTCCATAGATAATGTTGGTAGCACTGTGTTACCTCTCTGTGTGGTCTCACTATGATGCTGATATCAGTCTGGTATTTGGACTTCTAATAAATATACCAATAAACCACACAATAGGTTTAGAAAATCTTTATTAAAACAATACAGTCACAACCATATTACAAATATATACATAGCAATATTTTCCCTTAAAAAAAAACAAAAAAACAACCCTCAAAGTTTCAAAAGAAAGTCTCCCCCACAAGTCTAGTCTGAAGCTAACATCTCTAGAATGCTGAATCCTACTGGCATTGGTATTATCAGGTGTACTGGAGGATCCTCAAGATATTCCCACAACACAGATCCCATACTATTATTGTTCGCTCAGTAGCATACATTTTGACTTATAAGAATAAACTGTAACAATAATGCTTTCTATTAAGTGAATTAAATAACTAAAAATTATGGGAAAAGGGCGGTGGAAAAGCTCCCAGAATTCCGGAGTCTACTTACGATAATGAATCTCTGACTTGATTCAGTCAAACTCAGACTGGAAGCCTCAATTTAAAGATGTAGAACCTTTTGCTCTCCAGCTTTTATCCACAGAAGAGATCTGGTATAGCACAGGGAAATTCTACATTTTTAAAAAATTGTCATAATGTGCTAAAAAATTGGGGGGTGACAAGCTTGTTTGGTTTGTGTACAGGGTTGGTGTTCTTTACAAGGAAAGGGAGGATTTTAATGTATCTATTTAAAATATTAAAAATATAAGATAAAAGATTAGAATTTAGCAGACTCTCTGGCAGAGTGCATTTATTATTTATCTTAACATGGCTACCCCATGTACAAATATAGCCACACACAACCAGATACAGATATTTGAAAACATTAACATGAGTATTTACATGGGGCTGATAATATTCATATATGTATCTAAATGATTTTAGATTTCCATTCAAAATCAGCCAGTCCTGCTGGTCATTAATTACCTACAGTCTGCTGTATTACCACACAAATCCTTGTGCATAGAATTCCATGACGAATTGCTTACCACCATAGTTTAACAGTGTTCATCCTCCATGGATTCTTCAACATCTACTAGATCTATTGAATGGTCTCTTAGCAGAACTTTCTTCTGAAGCTCTGAATAGAAGTCCACACTCTCTGAGACAGAATGTATAGGCTTGTCTCTATAGAAGCTCACCTGTTTGTGGTTCAAAAAGCAGGTTTGCTCTTTAAAACTATGCTCAAATGCCTTCTGATTTCGTCTAAACTCCAGAACTGTTTTCGTATAGGTATTGAGCGTTGTGACAGCTGAAATCATGCAGCAGGTGAAAGAAGCCCAAGCTGTGCTAAAATAAAAATATTTTCAACAAAAAGAATGTCATTGATATGTATAGATACAGTATATACATATATATTTTTTTTAAAGAATTCTAGTCAGGATAAACAAGCCATGTACCTTCATGTAATGGCAGGTCATGTACGAAAATAATTGTAACATTTTATTTTCCAGAAGGTGGGCGGGATAAAAAATCTTTATATGTATATAGGGTTTTACTGTATGATCATGCTGTAAAGTCTGCCCTATAACACTAAGGGGTTCATTTACAAAACTTCTGCCCAGTGTATACTTCGGCCCCTAAGACACCATGGTAGGGCCATGTCACAGATTTAGTTTTGTTTCTGTATCAGGCACATTTCCTGGATCATAACTTTTACTTCCAAACAATACTGCTCAAAACCTAAAGCTGACATATGTAAACACATATTTCTATTGAATAATTAGAATTGAGCTTTGCATTTTGCTTTTTAGTTCCCTTTTGTTAGCCATGTACTCCATATGCCTTGCAAAATAAATCAGTAGAAACTTACTAAAAAGCCCATCCATAATCCCAGGAATGTGGTCTCCAGTCTTCTGGTCCCAAGCTAACCGTGGCTTGAAAAACCTGGGTATACATCATGTGTGCCACCATCCCCAGCAATCCTGCGGGAAAATCACATTAAGATTTATTTTTAAAAGTCTGTTCTAAACAAAAATATGTGTATAGGTTCTAGAAGCACAACTGTTAGATATTTAAATATAACCTATAGGATACACTGATAACGATACTGGTATCGATATCGGTGCTAATACCGATATTTGCTTGTAAAAGCTCCAATACTTACCCTGACCGGCAGTGCCACGAGGGAGCATGGAGCCGGCTTCTCGGCCAATCAGGAAGCTGGACGGCAGGTCATGACCCAGCTTCCTGATTGGCTAGGAAGTCAGCTTCACGCTGCCTAGCAACACTGCGAGGCAGCCTGGCTTCCTGACCAATCAGGAAGCCGGGTGGCATGTCATGACCCGCCTCCCTGATTGGTCAAGAAGCCAGGCTGCCTCGCAGTGATGCTAAGCAGTGTGAAGCTGGCTTCCTAGCCAATTAAGAAGCCACGCAGAACATCAAGTCCAGACGCCCGGCTTCATGATTGGTCAGGAAGCCAGGCTGCCTTGTAGTGTTGTGAGGGAGCATGAAGCTGGTGTTCTTTCGATAGTACACCGGCTTCCCAGGCAATCAGGAAGCTGGGTGGCGGGTCGTGACCCACTGCCCGGCTTCAGGATTAGCCGGGTCCACGGTACCTTGGGATGCCAGTATCGGTATCTGGTATCGGCAAGTACCAAAAACAAAACAAAAATCAGAACTCGTAGTCAATACTGAAAAACCGGTATCACCGCATTCCTACTTTAACCAGTTGACATCCGCGGTGTTAAATCCCCTTCCCATCCAGGCCATTTTTCAGTATTCAGTGCTGCGGTACTTTGACTGACATTTATTCCGTCATGCAGCGCTGTACTGAAATGCATTTTATACCCTTTTTTGGGGACAGATAGAGCTGTCTTTTGGTGGTATTTATTCACCGGTAACGGGTGTGTTTAATCGTCGGGTCTTTTCTGCCCGTGCGTGCCCACTAGGGGGCGCGCGCGAGCAGAAAAAAATTGCCGCCTGCAGACGGCAACCCGCAGATGTAGCAGTGCCGTCCGTCCGTTTTTTTACTACGGGCGGACGGCAACAGGTTAAAGGCCTATGAATGGTTTCTGAGTGCCTTATGTTTGTTTTTTGGATGTACCTTGCTGTTAGTTCAAGTGGTTTAGGCAATAGGTGATAAAATAGCATTTTGAAAAATCGAAAGGAGTAGAAAGTACACTGTTTTTTATTTGTCTATTTTAGTGGTATTTGATGTTTTGTAATATATACCAATGCCAAACAAAGGAAAAACCAGTGTAATGCTTTTAAAATATTTCAAGTTAGTTACTCATGCTCCTTGTTTTTTCCTATTGTCATAAAAAACATAAAAAACTACTAAATATACACACAAAATATTTCATGCATGTTTCTTACTCTTTTCTTTTTTATAGCACAATGATCATGATCACACATTGTCATAAATATTTAGTATATTGTTTTTTTGACAATAGAAGAAGGAGCAAAAGTAGCAACTTTTGCACTTTAAAAGAGAACTAAAGCCAAACAGAGCTGCGCTGCAGCAGCCGGGAAAGATCCTGACAATATTGTCAGGATCCACGCCTTTCTAGAGCCACAGCCTGCTGTGCCACCCCTCTCCCCTGCCTGTCCATCCAATGAGCGCTGAAGAAACAGAGGGGAGGGGGGAACCCCCGAGGGGAGCAGTGACTGGTAGTCACTGCTCTCTGCAGTGTCAAGCCATGAGCTGAGTGATAAGCAATGTGTGATCACTCAGCTCTCGATCTATAGAGCTGGCATGTGACACCTTCAGTGTCACACGCCGACTCTGAGTAATTGGAAGAGTACATTTTACTCACTTTAAACACTGGACATATATTTGTGTTACTGTCTGTTTACATTTTTCAAGTTGCTATTTGCACTTCTTTTTTTCAAATTGTTTCCATTCCCCCAAAAAAAGTGAAAAAGGGGAAAGGACGCACTTTTTTATTTAAAGTAATACGCTTTGTGTTTGTACAAAAACAAATCTAATCTTTAGTACTCTGCTGTCAAGTGAGAACTATTTAAATTAAGCCATAATACCTCTTAAATAAACCTTTTATTTATAATATTCGTCAGAATCTATCGAATAAAAGTTTAGTTTTTTCTGTTCTCAATGGACATGGTTCTTACTTTACTGATGAGCGTGAGACTGGGTTCCGTTTACAAAAACCAAACCCCAATCATTTGTAGCAAAGTTAACAGTAAACAGATGCTGGGACATCATGGTCTATCAGTGAGCTTCCTACGGTTTATATACAATATAATTGCGGTGAGTGTGCACTCCTGAGGGAGTGCTGGCGTGGACACAATCACGGTCTTCGAAAAGACCACCAGCACGTTTGGGATTATATACTATGACTTATTTTCACGAATCCACTACGAACTAAACACATTGGATTTGATACAATCATTTGGACTTTTAGGAATTTATATACATAAGAGTTTATGAATTTATATTTTTGCACTTTTAATTGTATGATATACATATTTATCTATAAGTACTTATTGCACGATTTTGCACCTTTGCACGTTATGATCAGTAGTGATTTATAGTTTGTATTGAGGTTATGGTGTATACCTTTAGCACATGAATTCATGATAGATATTTACTTATATGCACCAATTGCAATTTTGCACATTTTGGACCATAAGAGATCTATTTATTTATTTTTAAACGCATTTTGTGGTTATTGTTTTATTTGCCTCCCTTAGATGGGACCTCCTTTTTAACCAGTTATAATCTGGACCCATAGCGGCTGCATATTTATTTATTACTATCCACCAGCTGGACAATAGTGTCCATAGTGCAGCAGCTGTAACACTTTCGTTTAGTTCCTTAAGACCAACCGTAAGTGCAGATTTGATATTTCTTTAAAGTTAACAGTATGATGGGATAGAGAAGGTTGTGTCAACGTGACACAGCCAATAGATCACGTATCACCAGCACAACTTTAGACTGATTGTAAAGTCACCAGTAAAAGCAATGTTCAACATTTCACGGTCCCCTTTCAATGCAGTACAGAGATGCCGTTAGGGGTCTAATAGACTCCGTAAAAAGAAGCTGTCACCTCCACAGAGTTATCACATAGGGGGCTTGCCAGCTATAGGTGTCCCAATATATGATCAAGGTTCTAGCCTGCCCTGCACATTTTATTAAAACGAAATAGACCTAGATTATAGAGGACTACCAAACACCCACTTTAGATGTAACTGATAAAAGCAATGCATTCATTTAAATTTTAAGAAGTTTAACTAAGAAAAGACCAAAAATGTAATGGGTAAATGGGGATACTCCAGGGGGCTGTAGTGCACCTGAGGGGAGGGTGTGCAGTGTTCTGGGTGCTTAGTGTTTTCACTGTTTTGTTTTATTTATTTTTTTAAAGGATGCAGTAAGGTGCTAAGAAAAAAAGGCAGCTTTTAAACAGAATGTCAGCCTCAAAGGCCTGATGCGCTGTAATCATCCTAAAAATAATCTAACAATGTATAATTGAAGAAAAAAAAAACCATTTATGGAAATAGTGGAGGTGCTAACCATTGAAGAGCTATCTATCGATCAGTTGTTGCAGACTGAGATTGGTTCTATAGGATTTAGGATTTTGGGTGTACAGATCTGTGCACACAGACAGGGCACATAGGAAAATACCCTCAAACACAGTTTGTTAAAGTAGATGTACACCCAAACACTAAATTCACATATAAGCTTTAACATGGTAATATCATTTGGAAATCTTTTTTTTTAATTTTAATGGCTAGCTTTAATTAAAATAGTAGTGCTATGAATATAAAGATCCTTTTTTGGTCAATTTATGTTATGTCTGTAAAAAATAAGTCAAGGCAACTGGACTTGCTGTATTTTTCTTGAAGATGTTTCAGTGGTCATCCAACCAGCTTTCTCAATTCAGAATGACTTTGTACAAAAACGTGTAATGACTTGTACAAGTCATTCTGAATTGAGAAAGCTGGTCGGATGTCCAGTGAAACGTCTTCAAGAAAAATACAGAAAGTCCAGTTGCCTTCACTTATTTTTTACAGATATACCATGACCTGGATGAATGAGAACCTTCTCAGACAATTTATGTTATGGTGTGTCAATACTGCCTATTTCCCATAATTTCCTGCCTGTAAATCAACCTAGTACATGCTCTCCCCCAAGGAAATTATAAGATTCTGGGCTGATGCACACTGCCCAGGCAAATTACACTGTGGTTCCTGATTTAAAAAAAAGGCATGTGCAAAACACTATTTCAGTCAGCATCCAATTGGGGAATAAGCCCTGAGAAAAAAAAAAGACATGCAGCCTGTTATCACTATAGACAGGCACACACTGTAAAGAGGCTTAAAAAACAAAAACAAATTGCAGCCAGCAACAATTAGGAAATGTGCCCATAAATTTTTTTTATCACAGAAATTAATGTGGTCAGGGACAGGCTGTAAAGAAACTATGAAAAATACAATTGTCGCCAGCAGCTAAATATTAAAAAACACATGCCTCCTGTTATTACTGTAGTGCATATTGACAGGAACAAGCTGTAAAGAAGATGCAGGACATTAGCAGCATTAAAATATAAAGACCATTCCCTTCCCCACCTCTAAATTCTCCAAGATACACAGCATTTTGCTATCTACAGGACATTCAGTCAGAGTTTACATCTAGTTTAGGAGACCAGCCAGTGCTAGATGCCCTACACTAATCCTTATGCACTTTATCAGTAGCACTTACTATACTTTCCTTATCACAACTAAAGAACAGTGTCAATGTGGCTGCTGGGAACCCGCCATTTTATAGTGTAGTTCAAATGCCAACGAGTGCAATATATTTAGTTGGGTACTATGGCAGCATAATTCAGCATTAGTTTAGTCCTTGACATGTTCCCCTTCATTTCTTTTGTGCATTCTTCTTCTCTTTTGTCTTTCTTACCCACCTTCATATGTGTCTGTGGAAGGGCCTTGTCTGAACTATTTGGGGATAAAAGGAATTAAACTA